AGTTAACTGACTGATCTCAATTACTGATTATCACACTTCTCAAAAAATGAGAAGTCCTCTCGCGATGGTGATTCCAGGGGAATCAGTTTGACAAACCTAGTGTCTGAGATCCCAGGTACTATAATAATCAGAAGTCTTAGTGGAGCTGGGTCACGGAAAACCTAAGAGAACCAGAAAAACTTCAACCTATATCGATCAGATATTCAACTTCAATGAATCGTGTCGATGCAATCAGTAAGCAGACGACTTCTCTTAAGTACACGTACAGACACCCTTTTTATTACAATGCGATTTCATTGGAGACAACAATACTGAAGTGGGTATCTGAAGGAATTACCGAAAAGGAGTACCTCTAAAGTTTAACTCCAACCAAACCCCAATGAGTTTAAAAGTCCAAGATAACAGGACTGAAATGGAGTCAACATTCTTGATTGCAGTGAACCCGACTGCATCATGCAACAAACTGTGAAGAGTGAGAAGAACGGCATACGCTGGCTGCACCGATGAAAACATCCCACAACACGATTTGGATTTCCCCGATCATCATCATCATCATCATGATTTATGTCTAATATCTTGTCGCACAAACTCGAAGATCAACAGGCGAAAACCAACAAGTTGGCAGAAGAGGCGAGGAAGCGAAGATGCGACTTCAACTGAACATAGACAAGACAGGGTTCATGAAGATACTAAACCAACGCCACCAACAACAACAAGCACCAATCACCATCAACGGGACAAACCTAAACAAAGTTGTCTCTTTCACTCACTCACTCACTCACTCACTCACTCACTCACTCACTCACTCACTCACTCACTCACTCACTCACTCACTCACTCACTCACTCACTCACTCACTCACTCACTCACTCACTCACTCACTCACTCACTCACTCACTCACTCACTCACTCACTCACTCACTCACTCACTCACTCACTCACCTACCTACCTACACACCTAGGCAGCATCGTTTCAACTACAGGCGACGGCACACATCAGCATGTCAAACACACGATCGGAAACACACCAACACTGGCCTTCCTGCATTCATCTGAAATAATCAGTGTGGAGATCTACTGCACTACACTACACTACACTACACTACACTCAGCATAAAGCGTCAACAGCATCCGCATTTCCAACACTAATGTCAGTCAGTGCTTCTATGTGATGGTTCACAGACTTGGCGCGTTACGAAAAGCATTTCCAACAAACAACTGCAGACATACATCATCAACAGTTGTCGCCATCTACGCTCACTCCATACTGACACTGAAGATCGATTAGATGGCCAGAATAATAAGAATAAGCAACAAGGAACTCTGGCTAGCTGACTGGCAACGAACTAAACAACCGACAACCTATCGCCCAACAAATATGCAGTGGGAGAAAGTGGAGATGGATTGGACTGAACATACAATGAGATCATTCGGGGACTTCAAGCAGAACACTTTCGAGTGGAACCCAAAGGGGAAACGATGAGTTGGGCATACGAAAGTTATATGGAGGAGGTCGTGTGAGGAAGAAATGAAAGCTTGTGGGCAGTCGTAAAGTCAGGTTCAAAAAACTGCAGAGAACAGAGTGGAATAGCGACGTGCTACTGAAGCTCCATGTTCCACTAGGAATCCAATGGACAAATAATAATAATCAACTAACATGGTCTGAATAAACAATAAAAAATTGTATATCTCACCAGTGTCAAATTTCCTGAGTGATAGCTGCTATCTTGACGTGGCGGTCGGGCGTATACATCATGATGACGCAACGAGCTATGCTGGTAGAGGTCCTACCCTTACCCTTTAACATGTTCTTAAACAAAGAAATGATGGCTTAGATCAGTCATCAGTGGTGGTTCAGAATTGTAGGATGTATGTTCGACTATATCTTCCATAATAGGGTCAATCGTAGTGGCATCAAAAAGGCCGTAGGTGACCGGCATCTAGCAGAGGTCCCCTGGGTTCTGTAATCACGTACTAACCGTTCTTTCTCAGGTACTTCAAGAAGACCTAGCCTTCCATGGTATGGGTAGCGTCAACCGCCCCCACAACTCTGTAAGAGCCCTAGTTCCCTCAGACCACTATCCGCCTCTTTTCTTATCTTCATTCACGTCTATCAGTTAACAATCCCACATCATTTTTAATTCCTCCTAGCTCTGCGGCTTTCGACAACGATCTGAGTCCACAGAACAGTATCACTGGTCTCCTTTAATCATGCTCCAAATTACACATTGGAGCCTAAAATATCTGCACTCTCCGTCAAATTGGCCAAAACTCTAGCAACTCGGAACATGGATGTATGCTGTTTGTGAGACACGGATACAAAACCTTAGTGCAGTTATTTACTCAGCTTCACCCGGCCAATACAGTGAATTCGCAAAATTCCCCCTTCGAGTTTCTGGAGATTCGATGCTCAGCTATCGCCGTCTTGCAGGTTTAGGCATAGCATTAAGCACTAAGGCAGAAAGCTCACTGCTAGACTAGATCCTAGTTGACAGTCACTTATAAGCTGTCCGGCAAAGTGAGAACTAAAAGGAACAATGAAACTCGCCGTTGTCTCTTTGTGTTCTCTACTTACCCACCCACTAACTGCAGTTCAGATGAGTTCTACAGATGTGTCGAAGTTTTAAAATCCTATAGTCTTTTTAATGTCAAGTAAACATTGTTCAATGAAACAAGTGATTGTTTGCTTAATATAACAACTGATCAACTAATTAACCTATTATCAGTTTCAATTTTATAATGGTTGGCTAAAATCAATTAAAAACTGATGACAATAGAATATTAAAAGGGGAAAAGAGTAATTCAGCACATACAGTGACCACAAAAAACTTTCTCCAGCAGTCGAGGTAAACGGTAGCTTACTACGCGTAACACAAGTCCAAGTCGACAAAAGGTTCACAACCTCGTAAATCCCCTAGCCTGTCTTGTCTAGTACTCTTAGTTTAACCTTTACACTGCTCACATTGTGATTCTGGCGAAAGCGAGCAATGTTGCGAAGATGGTTCTTTGAAAATCAGAAATCTCTTCATATCTAATTTCAACGACTGTATCTTACAACTAGGTAATAGGATAGAGAGGAATTCAGTGCAGCATACTCGTTCTTGAACAAGTAGTAGACTCTATAGATGACAAACACGTCTCCTGTATCCAAGCTGAGATTTCATCATTAACTGGGACAATCAAGGAAAATAACCTAAAATATTAGTTTTGTGAACCCAGACGATACTTACTAGGAATTTAACCATATAAATATCCAAGTAGATTCACAAATAACACAAGCCTAAGGGTAAGATCATGCAATTAAATTTTTGTGTGAAGGAGAAAGAACAGTAAAAATTCATATTTTCATTTATTTTCAGTTTAATATTTTTCTCAAAAATAGGAATTATCAGATATATATATGTTTATTTATATATCACCTAGAAATAAAAATAAGGAAAGTAGGTGGGGGAGTAACAACTCAAAATATGTAGACATATGCTCTAGAAAACAGTCAGATTAGGTGAGTTAGAGAGAGAAATAGAAGGGGGAAATGCTCATCGTGAAGTTACACGAATACACACACACACACACACACACACACACACACACACACACACAAATTAACCTGCCTCAATCGAAGTTAAAATTAAGAGAAAAGAATATATAAACGCACACTGGAACATTCAGAAAGACAGGAACTATGGGGTGAGGGTTTGATAGATAACCATTGTAGTACATGACTGAAATGAACATAAGCAGTGTTTTGCACAAGTATAGCGTACAACAACATAGAATAAAATCTTTTTCTATACATTGATAGATTAAGAGAAAGAGAGAGAGAGGAGGTGATAAGGAACAGCCACGAAAAATGCATACGTATGTCGCAAAATCCACTGAAACCAATACAACTAATCAACCAGAAGGTCAGCTTATGAAGCAGGTAAGTAGGAAGGGGGATGAGGTGGGCACCAGAAAACTAACAAGAACGTAAAAGAATCGAAAACGGAAAGTATACACACACTCTGCTGTTTGTCATATCCCCCCTCTAACAAGATCATAAATATACTGAATATTATGAGGCAAACAAATACAGATACTTTTGGAGAAGAACAGTACAAAATATAAGGATGGGGGATATGATGTAAAGAGAAACATGATTTCTTTATTGTTATTTCTTGTGCGCAAAATATATTTCCAGTTGACAACACAGGCACTGAGAGATGGGCGAAGAATGGCGCACAAACACTTGTTTTTTTATCACTAAAAAGCCACTTCTTATTACATTACTACAAAAAAAATGTGTAAGATCCTATATTTCGTAAAACACAAATATTAGTAGTATGTACGTGTTCGAGTAAAAAAACAAAACACACGAGATACTAAGCAATGCACTGAAGAAATGAAAATAAATTACAGTTAACTGGGAATAGAATAACAATACGCACAACTGTGTGTCGATAGGTATTTACAAGCTATAAACACATAGAAGGGAAACCAAAATCTACAAAATAAATTTATTCAGTCTTTGCGCTAAAGAATAACAAAGGCAATAATATAGTTAAACTCTTTATCTGTTGTGTCAACTGTGATAAGCAAAAAGTGAATCTCTCAGCAAGCTAAATGTTTCCTCTTGACTGAACGGGCAAACAAACATACACAATGTGGTCGTGTTGAGCTTCCTCGTTGTTTTCAATTTTTTAAAAAAAGTCCGTAATATAACAGGGGGCAAGCTGTTTTTGTTATGCGTTTTAGATAGGTGAAACTAGGAGAAAATAAAACACCACATGTGGGCATACATTGATTCATAAGAATAAATATGGTTGACGAGATTGTTTCCTTTCATCGGTTAACCGATTGAGTAATTGTGCTGTATCTTTCTTTCCTTTGTTTTTCTAAAACTATACGCAACTTAACTCCCCTCAAACAATACTATTTATGGTTTTGGATGAATAAAAAACACACAGATATGTGTAATATATACGCATGCACATATGTAATACTACTAGTGCTTGGTGTAATTATTTCCTTGGAGCATAATTTAACGAGAATCCATCTGGATAGAAAACAAGAAAAAACAGTAAAAAATAGTGAGTTAAACTAACCAAGTCAAAAGAAATCATCACCCAGTATCACTAAAACTACTCGACAAAACCCCAGCTATCTCACTCAGATCGTCATCATTATCACCGATATCAACACAGGACCAGGCACTACTGCTGCGTAACGGTATGAGTTGCCACACCTCATATCAGTACATCAAGTAGAAAGGTAGTGAGGTGAAGGATGAAGATAAGAAAATTCAGTCAAAAGAAATATAAAGTACGAGAAGAAATAAAGGGAGAGATAGAAAATGGGGAGATTCGGTATGGTGTTAATACGACGATAATGTGTGTATACATCTGCACCACTGACATCAGTTCTCAGCCATGTCATCACCTAGAGTCAGTCTCCAACCACTGGTTTCTCTCATCCCACAGAACCCAACCAGCTAGTCTGCATCGCCCCATATGGCTAAAACAAACACTCAAAGACTTCATACACTGATGACAAGTTTTAGTCTGGCCACCGCCAGCCTTTTTCCACACTGAACCTACTTCGACCAAAGTTGTGTGACGAGGTAATCGGTGACTAGGTATACATGACACATGTCGCAGCCAAACGTCTCAGTCGACGAAGGTTCACAAATCGTGTCAACTGACTTACCTCTTCTCCCAAAAACTCTATTCCTGAGCCTGACTTATTCGTTACTCAAGTAGTGACACCACGGAATACGGCGCATACTACGAAGGCAACAGGGGTCAAACAATGAAGTCTTCTCATGTCTTTCACCTTCAATGGCCATGTCTCACAGTCATAAAGTAGAACAGACCGGACTGCTGTGCAGTACACGCGACTCTTAATAGACATCGGATATTACGGCGACGCCACAGGTAGCGTAGGTTGACAAAAGGCAGCTGGGCCTTTTGTATCCGTGCAGAGATTTCATAGGCCAGCCAACAGGGCTAATTCCACTTCGCAGGTAAGTGAAGTGGTCGACCCACTCAACTACTACACTCTCTACTGTTAGCCAAGGCACCGTTGAAGACCAATTGTGGAGCAACAATTTGCATTTGGGTAGTGAGAAACGCATCCCAAACATTCTCACTCAGATAATTAAAATGATAGTCAATATGATGCTCCACCCGCTGTAATTTACTTAAATTTGTATTTGGATGGAAAGTCCTGACTAGGAACGTATCGTAACAACCGCAAAATGGTTAGTACAACCTTCAAAATTATTCATCACATTCCAATTCATTTACCACAAGGATAACGCACTCGCTTACTTCACACAGTGGAGGTGATTCTAACCCACTTTTACAAACAAATCTAACCTTTATATTCAAAACAAGTTTGCTCGATCACTTTCATTACCGTGGCTATCAACATGACATCACTTCTAGGATAACTTCGTACACCTCTTCCCTTCCTCTTGTTTCTACCAATATTCATTTGTTTTTTTATCATATTACGTAATCGCTTATTGTAAATGTCTGAACATTCATCAAAAATCACTCCGTTTACCTAAGAATAACTAACCTGCTTCATATTTCTAAAACATCACCACGTGATTGGTAATTTGATTCAATTGTAAACCTATGTATATTAGTGTAGAGTCCAAGATGAAGACGTAATTGAGAAGGTATATATTTCTCCGCTCGCTTAATCAGTCTTTCCGATTCAGTTAGATTGGGATGAGAAGTCCTGGCTCAGCAGCCAGTGTGAATAATATCAGGCGGTAGTAACGCATCACGAAGTTACATGGTAGTCGGGCGAAACCCTTGGTGATTGATGAAGTGAAATAAAAATATGGTGAGCAGTCGGACCTTGTAAGTCAGTTAGTCGAGCACTGGGCCGGAAACCCGGTGGTCGCTGGTTCGAACCCGTCCGCGGTCAAAATTTTCATCTCACCATCAATCATCACCCAGTGTCAATAATACAAATCGGCCAAACCACGGCTCTCAGACAGTCAAACTGACAAACATTAGAAATTTATATATATATATACTTATAATTCCCTGTTGTTTAGTTTTACCAGCATGAATCTCTCGCTCGCTTTTAACACTTAAACTTCATAGACGTATGATTGACTGGATATTCTTGGCTCGAATTTCACTTGAATATCATTAGATTGGGGCAGAGAAAGCCAGGAATTGAATTTGAGGGTTTGTGAGGATTTAGTGATTTTTCAAGTTGGTATTCATCATATTGCTCATTGGTGACCAGCTTCGACAGGTGATTCTCGAAGTCCCACTGAGGAGTCATGACCGATAGGGAAAAACCTGGTGCACGTGAGAACAAATTACTCAACGATCACATTGGGTGATGGTCGCACTATATCGTGAACTGATAGAAGAGGAAATATGGGCCATTGAGTTTCGACCCACTGGCTCAATGATAAGATGCTGGCCACAAAATCTGGGTTCTTCCCCGCCCCCCCCCAGGGGGCAGGTTCATGAGTGCGCACTGGTAAGGGGTCGCATATTAGGACGAAACAACTGTATAGTGCTTCGTCCAACTGATGTCAGTCCATGATGAATACCAACCTGAAAAGCCAGAAATCGCTAGCTATCCTGTTGTAGTTTGCAGCACGAGTCCTTAAGGTTACTGATATAGCTACAGCAAAAGTAATCACAAGTTGTCTTAAAGAGAATATTATTGATCAATTTCAATTGTATTAACTCTCTTATCTGTTTAAAAATTTAGTCACAATAGAAAATGGTTTCTGGTTGATGAAAATGTCTAGGTTGATTGAATGAAATTAGAAATCAAGGTGAATAATTTTAGTCAACTTGAAACATGAACACCTAAAATAAGGAAGCAATACAATCCTTTGTAATTTTGATAAATATGATCAACGAATATAAAGAATATAATTCTAATAAAAGGTTAATGAAAAGCTAATAAATAGAAATGTATACAATGAATATGCATTACTTATTTTAAAAAAAACTTTATAACATATACATACATACATCTATACATTAACATAATCAATAACATTATAAGTTCGATACTGGCCTGCCTACCTGAACTAAAATTACCTACTAAACATTTTTCTTTCTCTTCATTAAATTCTTTCTTTTGCACGTATCATGTACTCTTACACATTTTAAAACTGTTTACCAACTCTTTAAGTCAGTAAAAAAGCAGAGAAGAAAGTGGAAGTGAATTTTTCAGTGAACAAAACTATATCATATTGTAGTGGAGGCTGCTGATCAGAATGGAAATGAGCAACCAAATAATACATAATTTTATTTTTCAACAAAAAAGAAAAGGGAAAAGAACAACCAGAGAATTTACTTACTTTCTGATAATTGTTGACTAGACCATCTTGAAGGGCAAGTATTAGCTTTATGACCAGGTTGACCACAATTGTAACAACTTAATATCCTAGGACCATTCATTGTTGACAATGAAGAGATTGTCATACTTGGCATATTATTAGAGTTATTAGCTACATTAGGCAATGGAGGAGGGAAGGCTGGATGCAAAGGTGGATGTAACACAAGATTATGTAGTAAAGGAAGACTTTGTACGTGAAATAAATTATTCGTTAATAAGGCTGTTGTTGACATAGGATCTAAAGATGCAGTAGAAGATTGTGTTATTGAACAAATGTTCGATTTAACAGAGTTTGAAGAAACAGTAGGAATTCCACGATAACTATCCACTGATATATTTGACGTCGGTGGATTAGGAATAAAACCAAATATAGGCGGTGGGTGTTGAAAATGCATACTAGGATTGGGAATAGAACTAATAAATGATGAATGACTGGTTACAGGAGTTGGAATTAATGTTAAACCTGAGTGTTGTGCACAATAAAATGTATTGGCAATCTGTGGTTGGACATAACCACGTGATAGAATTGGATTATTGAAAGTAGTCATAGGTGAATAACCACGAGTAGGATAATTGAGTTGAGTTATAGAAGTGTTGCAAACCGAAGGGTTTGAAGAATCAGGTCGAGTAATAAAACGTGGATAAAACCAAGTCGAATTAAAAAACGTCTCGTTAGCAGACAATCCTTGACCAGATGATCTCGTACAGTTGACAGAATCTAAAAACTCATTGCTCTCAACAGAAGTGACCACCGGATCTGTTAAAGGTTCTTCTGTAGAAGAGACATTACTACGGCTAGCACGATTTACTGCATGAGATATGAATCTGTTAAGGAAAAAAACAACATGAAAACGCCTTAAGTGAAATAAAATACAAAGAATTTGCGAATGATTATTCAAACGGTGTACAGTATTACAAAGGCGAATGACTAAGAAGAGAAATTAGCAAGATGAAGATGATAAAACAGATAGAACCAACCTAGAACCTGGCACAAAAGTGTATTGCTTCAAGTTCCAACAATTCACTCTAGTAAACATATGGAAAATGTGCATGGAAAAGAAATTGATATCAAAGTAGGAAAAGTTGTGTAATACATTTAAAAAACAAAAACAAATTGAAGATAACGGCTAGTGTAAATATTCAATTTTTAGAAGTTAAAGAGAGAATACATCTGTGCCATTGTCACCAACAGTCATCAACCACTGAGATTCTTATCGTCTCGGGGACTCCAGTAAAGCAGTATACATCTCCCAGCATAGCTCAGACTAACAGTTAGGAAGTTCATCGACTGGTGACAGATCTTAGTTTAACCACTATGAACTCTTCCAACCTAATCCAACAACCTATAGCATGGGAGTGTTGAATTAGGCGATGACTTGAAATTCGCAGTACATATCCAAGCCACTTAAGTCGACGATGATTCACAACTTCATTAGTCGAGTTGGCAGTTTTGCGTAGTACCCTTCGCCTAACCTCAACATTGCTCACACGGTGATTCCATCATAAGTGAGAAATGCTACGAAGACATCCGTGATCAAAAGCCTGCAATGTCTTCACATCTAATTTCAAAAGCCATGTCTCACAGACGTATAACAGGAGGATAATTAAGGAGAATCAGTAGATAGGCACCAACAAAATAGAGAATAATTAAGTATAAAATTTATACGACGTAATATTTCGAATGAGTTAGAGGTTTCAGAATGTACCATCAAGAAATCCTGATGACAGCAGTATATTTGATAATATAATGGGAATCCCAGATGGGAGAGTTTGTTATGATTCAAAAAGTAATAGTCCAATTAAATGTAAATCCTTCTAAAATGGATGAAAAATTGTATACAGTCCCAGTGATATGGCAATAGGGTAACGTATTATCATACCCAAAGGGGAAACGACGAGTTGGGCGTCCCAGCTGAGGGTGACATGGAGGAGATCGTGTGAGGAAGAAATGAAAGCTTGTGGGCAGTCGAGGAGCCAAGTTAAAAAGACTGCAGAGAACAGAGTGAAATGACGATGTGCTACTGAAGCCCTATGTTCCACTAGGAAGCCAAGGGACCAATAGTTATAATAGTATCCTAGTTAAGACGTACTAGACAAATGTTTAGTTGTTCATGAACAACAATAGCGAATAACTCAATCAACATGTACACGTAGACAACACAAAAGCAAATATAGTCGCATACTACAATAAGTAGATAGAGGGGTGTGGACATATGTACCAGTGGTTTAAAGAGATGACTATCAACCAGTGTTTACGGGTTCGAACCCTGCTCCACCTAACGAAGTTTGGACAGTCAGGTAGTATTACTAGCCCTCATACAATAGGTGTGGTTTATTGTCTACAGGACGAATGTGCACAAGGTAGGTGCATGCATTTCGATTCTATTTGCATCTGTGAGAAGAATTCTTCGGCCACCAATCTATTAGGGTTGCTGAGATTTTATTGGCAACTGAAATAATCAAAATCGATTTGTTCGCTTTTTATTGTCCCACAGCTGTAATATAATATATTTGCCTGGTTAGTGGATTTGTAAACATCAGGTTGATTTTAAAATCGATCCCCCTAATCAACCGAGATTCAGGAAAGCATATAGTAACATAAACCTTCCCTTATACTATTGATGAAAGTCATTGTCTGATGCATAAATTTATAGAGTGATCCTGATGAATCACGATGGCTGATTATTTATGAGTGGGTTAACGATAGTCCTTTGCTTTTAAAAACTGGTTCACATAAAGTTAAACAACTGAAAATTGACTCTGAGCAAAGCTATAGTGAACCGGAAGGCTTCATCATGAAGATGTATAATTCCTATTAATAGAACACACCAGGAAATGCGCTACATATAGTAACATAACAACATTATGAAGACACAAAACGACAGGAAGTGGATCAAAATAAAACACAATAAGAACAGAATGATTAGAACGGTGGGCGGTTCAGTAAGATACATTCAAACAAAACATTCATTAATTTTCAGCAGCAGAAGATAGAAGAAAGCTACGGAATCATCACCAATGGTTTTGACTTTGACCTATAGCTGATAACATCTCAAGCCACTGAGTTGCGCGATTTCTCGGAACCCGCCCAAAGAGCCATGATGCACTAACAGATGGTAACCCGATACAACTATCCTATGTCCCACGGCACCACGTCATACATTGGCCACCCTGCGGATTCTCTTATCTGATCCCAGGGCTAGCAAACAATGAATGGTATGGAAGTCGTTGAAACGATATGGGTAACACATATCAAAGTCACAGCAGCCAGTGTTTCCAGATGACATCACTTATTGAATAACGATCTCCATCACGTCCAAACATAAGCTGTTGTGCCTCAGAATAACTTACATGATGTTGGAACCGGATACGGGTAGTCCTACAGGGTCGTCGCACACCCTCAGCTTAGAGAAGCCAGGATTCACAGGCGTAGAGCAGAACTGCTCGGATCAAAGTGTTGCAAACCCAATTTTTCAAGGTCAGACTAAGGTCGTGACGACTCCAAAGGTGACCCAGATTGATGTATATCACTCTGGTTTTCGATGTGCGGTAAGAAATTTCATCACACCTCCACCACCACTCACAAAACTACTCAGATAAACAAACCTTTCGAGAACTTCCAATGGCTAACCACTGAAGGTGAACGCAGATGCAAGCTTCTGACAATCTTGCAAAAGTACCTCGCACTTTATTAAGATGTACTACAGAAAGACTTCTGAATACTGTATACTAACAGACATACAAACTCATATAGAAATGTAAGGCAAACAACGCTGAACTAACCTGCCAGAGGAGTGTATTTGAGACTCCCTGGGAATTGTAGTAGCAGCACCAGCAGCAACGATTGTTGTAGTAACTGAGGTAATAGGAGTAATTGGTAGGGAATGAACAATTGTACCATTTGATATTTGGATTTTTGTATCATTTACAACGGCTAAATCCAATTCATCATTCAATCTTTTCATGGCTGCATTAAGTTGTAGTGTATAAAAATCATTATTACTATTATTATTCGTAATTATAGAACCTGTTGTTGTGGTTATCGTTGCAATTGTCTGTACACTAGATGAAAGTGAAGGTGGAGTCAATGAACATAATGCTATTTGTGTTTCATCAGAGGTTCTACATAAACTAGGCTTCAGGAGATTGACACATGTTTTAGAAACAGGTTGAGGAAGATTTGCAACAGTAATACCCCCATCGACAGCAGTATCAGCAGAAAGGGAAGGTAATAAAATGCATGGTTGTGTAAATATACCAATCGTTGATGATGGTGTTATTGTATTGTGATGTAATTCCAAACAAGTGGATGTACACCGTACAGTATCTATAAATGATCCAAGAGGAAGATCAGTTGCAGAGACATTATAGTGATTATTACTATTATTATCATTTTTATTAACAGTTATAGAGTTATCAGTAATATTGGTGGAAGAATGTATTGTAGGCACTGACAGTTTCGTTTTCATCTCATCCACTTCGTCATCATTCGACTCCTGTGGAGGTGAATGTGATCCTATAGCGGTGACAATCTCCGGAAGGTTCACTTTCTCGGATTTTGTAATATCATTTGTAACAATATTGACATAAGACGGTAAGTAGGGCACAAATGAGGTGCCAGGATTATTACTATTACTAATACCATTAGTTGGTATACATGGATGAACTGTCCACTGATATATCATAGGTAGTCGTTGTATGGACTGAGAATTCTCTATTACCACAGGCGAAGGTAACATGTATGGTGGATATAGTGCTGAAGGGGGGATAGGTATAGGACCTTGAGGTGAAATCCAATAATGTGGTGAAATTGAAAAATTATTGCTGTTATTATTGGCAGAAGTAGTAGTATTAGTAGTAGTTATTGTTGTACTACTAGTACGAGATAATGATGATGAATGTGAATCAACAGTTGAATTTGTTATCATCATTCGATTACAATTGGATGGATTCGAGTTAATAGTTGTCTCAAAGTGTACACTACCAATTGAATCCAAGTGACTACGTCTATTATCAGCATCTTCATCATCCTTCAAGTGAAGTCCAACATCTACTGTAAAGAATTAAGAGAAATTATAGTATGAAGATAATCATACAATGTAATACAACTTTATTTTAGAGAAAGAGGACTGTTATTCCATTTTAATCAAGGAATAGTTTTATTGTTATATATATAATACACGCGAGCTTATTATTATTATTTGTCCCTTGTGTTCCTAGTGAAACATAGGTCTTCTGTAGCACGCCTCCATTCCACTATCTTCCCTGCAATCTTTTGAAACTGGCTCCACGACTGCCCACTAGCTCTCATTTCTTCCTCACACCATTTCTTCCATGTCACCCTTGCCTCGGACGCCCAACACGCCGTTTCCCATCTAGGTTCCACTCGAGTGCCCAACCCATCTCCACTTCCTTCTACTGCATATTTGTTGGGCAATAGGTTCTTGGTTGGTTCGCTGCCAGCCAAAGTTCCTTGTTGCTTATTCTTACTATTTTGGCCATCTGGGCTTCAGTGTAGGCAGTTGTTGATGAATATCTGTAGTTTTTTGGAAGTGCTTTTCGTAACGCGCCAAGTTTCTGAACCATCACATAGCAGCACTGACTTCACTGGCATTGGTGTTGAAAATCCGGATGCTGTTCACGCTTTGCGCTGAGTGCAGGAAATCTGCACACTGATTTCAGATTAATGAAGGAAGAGCTGTTTTGCTATCTTTCCGATCCTGGCTTTGACATCCTCATCTGTGTCTGTGTCGCCTGTAGTTGAAACGATGCGATCTAGGTAGGTAGGTGAATGACTACTTCCTTTGGGTTTCTCTCCTTGATGGTGATTGGTGCTTGTTGTTGTTGGTTGGTTGGTTGAGAATCTTCATCACCTCTGTCTTCTCTACGTTCACTTGAAGTCCCGTCTTCACTGCCTCTTCTGTCAACTTGTTAGTTTTTGCCACACACGCTTAACTGACAGTTAACTTCATACGCAAGTGCCATTGACTGTAACGTAGGATCAGAAGAAGACTGAAGCTGAATCGAAGACTTTATTCCTTCGAGAATAATAATCAATTAACCCAAACGCACGTGAGTATATATACACATGAGATATGATCTTATCCGAAAACTGAGATAAAGAGTGTGTTGAGTGAGTAATTTTAAGCTCAATTATGGGCAACTTTAAAGACCATCATCGAAGCAACTGCTGAAATAACCAATCAGGTTTAGATATTCTGAGTGCGAGAGTAGTTTTTCATTCAGTAGAGGAACGCGTAATTGGTTATCTGAAAAGTTGATAAGGTGACCTTTGAAGCCGATCATTTATTATATTATTTATATATTTATTTGAATGAAATAATGACCACCAATGTCAGACACACTAGATTTAGTTGAATCGGGTAACATGCCGTATACCGATAGTTGACATTAATACCGTAAGAGTGAGGATTAACCAATTAGCGAATTACCTTGAAAATGGGAGCAGAAAATGAACTACTAGCCATGTTGTAAAAAATGGCCCGGAAACAACAGGAAAAAGTCCAGTGCAATGACAATGTTTCATGCAAACTGGGAGTGGGTTTTTAAAGGCCACCCTAGCAACAACTGAAATAACCAACTAGACGTCTCTAATTTAAATGGTTTTGGTTAGCAGAGGAATTCAAGACGCGCATTTCGTTCTATTTGGGACTCGTCGGCTGGATGTAGCCGCATCCCCACTGGGAATCAAACCTCTTACCCATCGTTTGAAACGCCAAGGTGTCATCCACTATGCCACGGAGGCACGATTGCCACTTCTTGTACAGCGGGTACCAGTTTTTACTATTTATTAATATACTTGTAATTCTCCGTTGTTTTATTGGATCTAATCGTTCGACATCTATTGGCATATGAGTTCCTATGCGGATGCTTCGATATTGCCTGAATGATAGCGCCTTGGTGTTTGAAGCGACGGGTACGAGGTTCGAGTCCTAATGGGTACAATATCATTCACTGGGGTTCAGCTGGCAAGTCCCAAATAGGACGAAACACGGGTCCAGGATTCTTCCGCTAGCCACAAACAACCAAATTGCCATAATTAATATACAGGCAATATTGAGAAATCCGCATAGGAGCCCTCGTGTGCTAAAAGTGGTCGAATAATTCGATCCAATAAAACAACGGAGATTTACAAGTATACTAATAAATAGACTTTTCTATTTTATGAAAAACTATCTTTCTAGCCGAAATAAGGAAGCCTGATTGGTTATTTTGATTTTTGTTAGGGTGGCCTTCAAAGTCGCCCCAAATTGAGTCCTTTCACTAATTATTTATTAGAATACGTCTCTGGCACAATTTACTGTCCATATTCGTATTAGGAAACCCCACTAATTTGTTCGCCTTTTTCGTGATATGGGTAGTAAAATTTTCCATATAATATCTGGAACAGGTGCTGATTCATTCCTGTTGCATATATTACGTGTTGGTTCGATAAACAAAGATTCAGTTATCCACATCTCCCTTCACCCCACTAATAAGTTGGATTTTTATATTGTCACACTGTCCCATCCTATTGTGTAATTGGATGCATAGCCAGCGCTGAGCTTTTCGCCAAATTGTTTGTCTGGTTACAATCTAGTAATCCTGTACTTGCTCATGAATATAAATGAGTATATTTCATCAAATAGTCTGAATTTAGCTCAGTTTTTGTGCTCAATCATTCTAATTGACTCCTGGTCGACCACTTTGATCTTGCGATTGTTGCAACGGATTTGGTAAACTACTAAATTATTCTGCCTAATGGATCAACTATAAAGCTTTCGTCTAGGCGACTTTGTACCCTTCAGTGCCACTCTGCATCCATTCAAATCAACATACGATCAGGCATAACGGTCCAAGTTACCAAACCTCATATCACTACATCAAGTAAACAAGGTAGTAAAGTGGAAGATGAAGGAAAGAAAATTTAGTCCAAAGAAATATAAAGTACAAAAAGAGAGAAAAGGGAGAATGAGAAAATGGGGAGATTCGGCATAGCGTCGTTAAGATGAGGATAGATAATGTGCGTATACATCTGCCCCCAACTGACATCGGTTCTGGCCCACATTGCTTAGAGTCTCCAACCACTGCTTCCTCTTGTCCCACTGCCCCCAACCGACTAGTGTGCATCACCCTACATGGTTCGAACCCACAGTCAAAGACTTCATAAATTGATGCCATGTTTTAGTCTGCCACTCTAATCCCAGCGAGGCTTATTGAGAATCCCACATTGTTTGCCAAGTCAAAGATTGTAGAGAAAGTCAAAATTACTATATCACATGGATTACTATGTGTTAACGCATCCACCCAAGTGTTGCTTTAATGTTAAAACAACTTGCACACAGAAAATATTTTCAAAAGCAGAAAGAAATAGGAATGAAAACTAAGCATAAGAATAAATAAAAATAGGTGACGAGATCAGAGTAGGAGAAATATAAATCAAGAATTTTTTTCTCGCTTTTGTCTTTGGTCATGGATTATATAATCTCAACAGCTTCCAACAAGTGGGTTTCTAAAACCATGATAACATCAGTCTCCTGCTTCCTTTCCCCTCCACATAACTCACACTAATATCAGCTTTCGTTCAGCTTAATTCCAATCAAGAAAGTACTACGTAAAAATGAATAGTGACTCGATATGTGCGACAAATATCTCAACTATCCCGGTTCTCTACTGAACAGTTGGATATTTGCATTGATTGAGTGCACACAGAATCCTATGGATCATATTTGCAATGTGGCCAATAAGCTAGGAGGCTCAGCATCGCGGTGCACATCAGTAGATGTTAGTTGGTTGGACGCAATCGGCAAGAAGCCCCGGACTTAGGTTTCATGCTCACCGGCACTTGTCAGCAAGGTGTACCTGCAACCTCGAAGGAGTTGACGTACTGTCTGAGATTCAAACCCGCGGCCTGGACAGCTCAATGGTAAAGTCGCTGACTACGACATTGAGTGGCGTGGGTTCGAGTTCCGGGCGGAACATCAGTTCTGTTGAAGTTGCAGGTACACCTTGCTGACGAGTGCCAACAAGCATGAAACCTAGGTCCAGGGCATCTTGACGATTGCCTCCAACCAACTAACAGCTAGATATATCAGTTTAACACAATTTCAAAAGAACCTTTGTCATACGTTTCGCGAATTTATCAGTCAATGAATTTAGCTGATAGTTAAAAGGTAACTTTATATTACGATTTAAGCTACTTTGAATCGAAGTGCTTTATTCATTGACTTGATTAAGACCCCAGCACTAGTCACAATGTTGTTCGAAGGATGAATTTACATGATGCTACTCATAAATTAAACGGTAGGAGTGATACGAAGCGGACTAAATGGAAACAACAATTAAAGTCATTGACCGCCTAGATATTTCGACTTTTGTATCACCTGACTGTGTGGTCAAGAAAAACCTTATTGGACACTTCTATCCTACAGCTGACCAATCAAAATACGTTATTTACCTTTTGATATAGTAGTTTTATGCGTTCGTGAAAACTGCATACAAATAATGCATCTTTGTCAAATGGTGTTTTCTTAACAAAGTCACAAGCCGGTTTTTGCCATTCAATTTTCGCAGCCCAGTGAAGTATGTAGGGCTCTGAGGGAAAACAGTCGCTATTTGTAAATTGATATAGGGAACGAGAGAAAAACTTAGTCTGGAGAACAACCAATCAAAATGTACTCAGTGTGATCACGTCTACAGTTAAACAGACAGATGGTGGATCAGCGAATAGATAGAAATATTTTAAACAGCAGACTATCTATATATTAGCTGTATACTTCTGTATGTTTGGATCTTCGCTCTTTTGACCACAAATACACGTTTCTACACATCCATCGTGTCGTCTTTATTAATTAGTCGGGTCAGGAGTCAACTAGGAATTTGTTGAACGTTGGTGGCTGACAGTCAATATTCGTGCATCGTTAGCGGCTGTAGCAGCTTTCTAAATCATAACATAAATATCGTTTGCGTATTTCTTATCATTCACTCGACCTACCTCCTTTGACGTTAATTAGATCTGTATGCATTGTCACACGTACAAAAGTCAGCTCACTTTCGCAGTTTGAACAAATAAGTATTTCAACTAGTCTCGATATACTGTATGTCAGTTATGCTCAGTAGATGCCGTGGTATACTGTTGAGTAACATTACTAATTTATTTAAGTGCATAAAAAGCAACCTCATTTCTCTTATATGAAACAGATGAGCAATGTACACTCCGTTTTCATATTTGGCTTTCATTCAAAGAGCGAATAATTATTGAAATATTGAGTAGAGAAATATTTTAGATGAATGAATCTCATTGACTCACTTATAAAAGGAATTCAACAATGAGAAAACCAATAGTAGTTGAAAAAAATAGCACAAAAAGAGGTTTTTCATCAGCTACTTAGACTTTAAGTCAAACTTAGGAATGAACTTTACTACCTACTAATACAACAACAGGCAGATATCTTTAGAATTCTGTGATAACTCTTCCAGGTCGATAAAATTTCGAATGAGTACCCAACATTACTTCATACATAACTAAAAGAGAAACTTATCACTATGTGGGCAGCATACAAAGCGGCACAGCAGCATTAAAAGCCCTTCTGATAACTAATCAAGATATATGTGGCATGTCTTGGCTGGATATATATTTAACTCATGATAGAATTATCTGACCTGGTAATAGAAAGCAGTGAAATCCAGCGTGATATGTGTTCACTAGTCATGTGGATGTGCTTACATCCCACAGTGACTGGTGATTTAAACGCCAAAGTATTATCCACTAAATACGATAACCATCTCTGCTAGCCCACTACCAAGTTATTGATAAGAATAAATATTCAGGCGATATCCAGACATCTATCTGCACAGGAACCCATATGCCAACAGAAGTCAATCGACTCAATCCAGTATAACAATGGAGAATTACAAGTACCAACAAATAATAACTATGATAGAATTCACAATAGATGTATGCAGGGATAGCCACACAGACATCGAACACATGTGTCCGGGAAGAATAATAAATATTTCAATGGCATCATCTTCTAACCTAGATAGTTAAGATTAGTTACACCGATTCAACCATCTAACGTGGACAGTACGTCAATAACTAACAGCTGAAAAGTGACTGACTGATATGATACAGGTTTGGTTACTCATTCGTACAGTGAAACACAACAGTCTAACTGACATCCGATCGTATACATACATTATCCTCGTCTAAACGACGCTATACCGATTCTCACCATTTTGTCATTCTTACTTTCTCTTTTTCATACTTTATATTTCTTGTGACTGAGTTTTCCTATCTTCATCTTCCACTTCACTGCCTTGTTTACTTGATGTAGTGATATGAAGTGTAGCAAGTTGGACCGTTACGCAGCAATAATGCCTGATCTTATGTTGATTATGATGACTGATAATGATGACATCCGATACCGATACTTTAAACTTACCTCACTGAATTCAAAAATAAAAATAAACGGAGATCCTGTTTGTGCAATAGCTATACGCAACAGCACTGAACACGAGTGCATGATACTCAATGAACACTCGATAACAAGGATTTCTTCCGTTCGTACCCAATTCAAAAATCAACGTTATCTTTGAGAATAAATGAGTCAACTATGGCGGTAATGAGAAACTACTCCAGAAAGTAACACGTATTTAGCAAATGATAAAACTACACAATAATGATTACAATCAAAATATGAAAATATCAGGGGGCTTGAAAGTAGCTACCATACAGCGAAATAGCTACTTTAAAGGCCATCCTAACAACAATCGAAATGACGAATTAGACTTCTCCATTTCGGTTGAGAAGGCAGATTTTCATAAAATGGAGAAGTCTAGATGGTTACTTCGGTTGTTGCTAGGGTGGACTTTAAAGGCATTCACAATGAAAATGAGCGGCTTCAAGCCAACCTAGCAACTGACGAGACAACCAATTACATTCCATTATTTTATGGAAAAGTACTTTTCCAGGTGAAATACCAAAGCCTGATTGGCTATTTCAGTTGTTGTTGCGATGGCACTAAAGTCGCCCATAATGAAAATTTGGATTTTTAAGGCAAAGAAAAATGGCTGTGTGTATGTGTCTGAGAGAGAGAGAGAGAGAGAGATACCAACTGGTGTTAAATAACTTCATTCAGTAACTTCGATAATGTATCTTAGTAATGAACGCTTATTCATATATTAACTTTTTAACTTACCTCGAAGTTCTTCAGAAGTTGACTGACAATTCTGTGGCAAAATGGATGATTCACCTGGGCATGAAGAAGCGGCATTCGATATGACAGTATATGAAGACTGACTAGTTAGTGTATTATTGTTACTGCCACCATTATCGTTACTAGTGGAGACAGTATTAGTAGTATTTCTATGATTTTGATCGCCATTTCCACAATGATTTACATTCACTTTATTATGCTTAGTTGAGATATTTGACGACTCAGCATTGATCACAGAACGCAAAGATGACAATGAAGGAAAGTCTTCTAATGTGAATTGGTTGCAGGATTTCTGTTGCGAACACTACTGGAATGTGAAGTGACTGTAGAGTTAGATATCCTGGAGAGATGATTGGAACAAGGAGATGGAATGCTTTTGGTTAATGAATCTTGATAGTTACCAATCACCGGAGGAAATGTATGACTGTAAGACTGATATGGTGTATATATCATCCTATGAGTGTAATGTGAAGAGTTTTTCGGTGTCCAGTAGTCTGGTGAAGGTGGCTTCAGTGCAGCTGAGTCAGATCCACTCTCTTCAGAAGGCGGTGTTGAAATTGGTGAAGAACCGGAACTATGGCGCTTTGGAACTAAATGACAATAGTCTGTAATGCTTTTTGTACATTTTTCAGAACCGAAACGAAAATTAGAACATGTTGTTGTAGTGACTCTGGAATTATATGCGCAGGAAGAAGAGCAAGACGATTGAGAATAGATTGGATCAGTCAATGAACTTGGACTGATAGATGGTAAACACGAGATCGAGTCAACAGATGATTGAATAAAGTCTTTATAAACTGAAAGTCCCTCGGATGCTGTCAGCGTTTTTGTTATGTCTAAACCGAAAATAAGATGAAAGAAGCAAAGTGTAGTTCTTACCAAGAAAAAAAAGACAACAACTGTAGGTTAGTCAAACTACAAAAAACAAAATGACAAATAGAGAATGTAACAATTCGGTTACAGTGATTTTTGGCACTGTGTATACACCAATTCGAATACTAAAAATTCTTGCCAAGCCTGTAAAAAGCTTTACAAACTAAACAACTGAAATATGGTGAATATTCCCATTTGGACATTTAGAAAATGACTGATTGAGCCAGCGAAGAAAAATATTCCTCCCCAATTAGATCTTCATATTGCACTATACACTAATAAACGTAGGTTTACAATTGAATCAAATTTACCAATCACGTGGTGATATTTTGGAAATAATATTGTAAATAATCAATAGAGTTATTAAAATTGGAAATACGAAGCAGGTTGGTTATTTTTAGGTAAATGGAGTGACATTGATAAGAATGTTCTGAATACGTTCAATAATGTTCATCTGACAATCGAATTCACAATGGAAGATGAGGAAAATGACACTATACCATTTCTTGATGTTCTGATGGTAAGAAGGTCAAATAAAACTCTGCAACAAAATGTAAGTAGGAAATTAACATCAGCAGATCAATATACATGCACTTCTTTAGTGCTGTACCCCTCCAATACAAAAACAACCTGGTGAAATAGTCAATAGTTAGCTGAATGTGCCTACACCTCAATGAGTGATGTTGTTCCCATCTAGAGTCGACCGCCAGGATTATATACAAGTCAAGACACACACACACACAACTATCAAAGCAAATAGTCTACATCCAAATGAATACAACTTGTTAATGCCTAACTTCTTGATGAAGTCGAAGAACATGGAACAATTATCGGCCACATACATGAATAAGTTAAGCTGTTTCGAAGACTTCAGTTCTCATCAGCTCTCTCTCTCTTCCTCTCTTTATGACTGAAGCATTAACTACCTAACTATACATAAAATCAAAATCTAATCGCTACACTAAAAAAAACCGTTTTCTAAGATTTATTTTATTCTATTTCACTTTTTCTCTCACTTGAAATAGCCACAACAGCACTGTTATGTGTATATTCAGTGGAAAGAACTCAACCTAAGTGAGACGAACTGTGAAGTTTGATGAACAAGTCAGAGTAAAGAAATACTTCTTCACAAAGAATATATACACTTCTTATCTGTAAATAAATGCATATGCTTTCCTAGATCATAGAGTGTAACCACTGATACACGGGCGTCAGAACATCTTCCAACACGTATCGTTGTTAACTGATGTTATTAGTTGCAGCATTTGTAATATAGAGGTCGAGTACAGTCACCGTGTGGAAAAGATAATGTGAACATTGACCACATAAGGTGTTTTTTGGGATATGTTATATACAGTCAAGCTAGACATCTATCTACCTACCTCAATGAGCTTATTTTAGGTGAATTAGAGGTTAATTTAGTTAGATAAAACATCAAAGGGCAATCGAACTGCTGATCTCATTCATATAGGTGTAGTAATGTAGACCTCCACCTTCAAGCTGAGGTAATATGTGACACATAGTCGATCGGAGTAGACCCATAAAAATTAGCTTCATCCTAATTTGTAGTTAACTTAACCACAGCTTCTTTTCATCATCTGGCATCCTACTACAGTGATTATATTTCTTCCAGTTCCTTATCCTATATAATGCAGTTTGTAAGGTCCTTTATGCAACGATTACAGGGTTTCGATCGCAGACATCCTCGTAACATTGCTTGCTATTGCTGAGATTACCGTGTGAGGAATTTTGAGGGCACGTAAAGGTTACTAAGTAAAACAAGCAAGTCGATTGATGAGGGTGTGGACATCAGTCGATGGAGGTGGCTTATACATGCACTGTACATTCCAAGTCACCGCCTACTTAGACATCCCATGCTAAGAGTAGTTGGATTAGGCTGGAAGAGGGTTCAGAGTGAGTTGGGCTAAGATCTGGCACCAGTCGATCCAGTCTCTCATTATTGGTGAGTCATGTGGAAAGAAGTAGACTGACTGGTATGACAGCAATAACGTTCTCCCCTTCGGATGATCAGCATTGCCATGCTGATGCTGCCGGAAAGTGTCAACCGCTCTCATAACTCGATCAGCACTCAAGTTTATTATTATTATCATTATTAATATTATTAAGTTTTTCCAGACTGCTATCCACCTCATCACCCCATCATTACTTCCTAATCTTCCTTCACGTCTCTCAACTAACGATACTACATCATCTTCAATTTCCCTTAGCTCTGCAGTCTTTGACAACGACCTGAGTTCACAGAACAGCATCTTTGGTCTCCTTAAACCAGGCTCCAAATTACACATCAGGGCCTTAGATGTCCGCACCCTCCGGTCAAATTAGTCAACAGGTTTCGTTGGCAAAGACTCTCTCTAGCAACTCAGACCATGAATGTGTGCTGTGTTTGAGACACGCATACAGGATCCAAGTGCGGATATTTACCTAACCTCTCAAGATCAATCTAGTGAAGGTGCAAAATTCACCCTTCGAGTTTCAGGAGATTCGATGGATAGCTCTCGCGGTCTTGCAGGTGTAGGTTCTAGTAGTAAGCACTAGGGCAGAAAACTCAATACTAGACTGGACCCCAGTTGATAGTCGCCTCTGCGCTGTCCTATTGAACGGCACGGTGAGAACTAAAAGGAATAGAGGTATGTGCCGTTGTCTCTTTGTGATCTCTGCTTACTCACCCACTAACTACAGTTCAGATGAAGTGAAGGACGAGTTCTACCGGAAACTGTCTAGCCTCCTCTCGAAAGCCAAAGGTTCAGACGTGGTGGTTGTCGCAGGTGACGTCAATGAACAGGTGGGTACACTGAGTGAGGTAGAAAGGTACTTTGGTGGCATTTTCGGAGTCCGGGCTGAAGGGACAGATAAAGGTGGTCACCCGCTACAACTGTGCTCAGATAGCACAAATTCCAGACATAATGAAGGACAGTGTCTGAAGCGGCATCCACCGAGCTTAACCCAGCGACGGACACAAATAGACCACCTTGCTACCAGTCATGTCTGGAGAGGATCGGTGGGAGACTATTACTTCTTCTTCTTTAGTACGTGTTTGGACGGCGATCATGCGTCGGTCTGAGCACGTATATGACTGTGACTCAATGGATGTAAGAAAAATATGACAACAAAACCATCACGGATACACCAAAGACGTGTTCAGTGAGAAGTAGGCTAGGCAGTTATCGGAACAAAAGACTGTCACCCATCCAGAAGAAGCTTGGTGCCATCTTCAGTCTGCTGTGAAAGCAGCACTGAGGAGTGTAACCGACTCCAAAATGGTGGCTAAAAGGAGCGAGTGGATATCAGCAGCTTCTCCTGAACTAATGGATGTACGTTAACACATCCCTGCAGGCCCCGAGTACAATGAAGAGCAGGCACAGCTTAAAGCAGATTGAGAAAACGTCTACACAACGACTGCAATTGGTGGGCAGCGAAGGAGAAACACATGAGAAAGGCAGCGGCGACTGATTACAGTAAACAGTTACTTCAATCAATCATTATCAACGTAGGACCAGGCATTACTGCTGCGTAACGGACCGAGTTGCCACACCTCACGTCAGTATATCAAGTAGAAAGGTAGTGAGGTAAAGGATGAAGATAAGAGAATGCAGTCGAAAGAAATATAAAGTACGAGAAGAAAGAAAAGAAGAACGACAATGGTGAGATTCGGTATAGGGTCGTTAAGATGAGGATAGATGATGTGTGTATACATCTGCCCCACCGACATCGGTCCTGAGCCATGTCATCACCTAGAGTCTCCAACCACTCACTGGTCCCTCTTGTCCCGCGGACACCAACCAGCTAGTCTGCATCGCCCTACATGGCTTAAACCAACAGTCAGAGACTTCATACATTAGTGCCATGTTTTAGTCTGGCCACCTCGGGACTTTTTCCAACCTGGACCCACCTTAGCCAACATTGTGTGACGAGGCAACCGGTGACTGGGCATACGTAGTACGTGTCCCAACCAGCAATCTCAGTCGATGAAGGTTCATAACCTCATCAACTGATTTACCTTTCCTCCCTAAAACTCTACACTTGACTTCTGTATTACTCAGGTGGTGACACTATGGAATACGTCCCATACTACGAAGGCAACGGAGGTCAAACACTTGAAGCCTTCTTATATCTTCCACTTTCAATGACCATGTTTCACAGCCCTAGAGAGTAGAACAGACTGGACTACTGTGCAGTAAATAACTGTCTACTATTAGCGATCGCCGCTGCCTTCTCCATCTCTTTAGCCTTCGCTGCCCACCACTGTTTGCGATCGTTGCGCAAACTTTTCATCAGTCCATTTAGACTTATTAAGGAAACTGAGGGGAAAAGGTCAACAACAGTTTGTGAGTTTATAGCGGAGAAGGACGGATCTGCGATTCACTCACAGGGGAGACGACTGGAACGACGAGTAGAATATTTCAAGAAAAACAGTTTAACTGGCCTCAAGTCAGCACTGCAATACCGCCATCCAGTCAGATCCTGAATGGAATACTGAGATAAGCTACCCAACACTAGAAAAAGTGGAGAAAGCAGTAGATAACCTGAAACGAAAAAGGGCAGCAAAACCAGATGGACTAGCTCCTGAAGTATAGAAGGATGGTGGTAAGGTGCTCTTAGTCAGGTTGACGGGAGTGTTAACTAGTTTATGGGAATCAAATACGATCCACTCTGACGTCCAAATCACTGATTATTCCAGTCTTCAAGAAAGGCGAGAAGTCCTCTTCTGATAACTACAGAGGAGTCAGACTAGTGAACATAGTGACGAGTCCCAAATAGGACGAAATGTGCATCCTGGATCCCACTGCTAGCCACGATCCATCATTAATATAGTGTCTAAGATCCTAGGTTTCATAATTTTTTGACGCCTGCGTAGAGCTCGTGAAAAGCAAGCCGGAAAAAACCAGGCAGGCTTTAGACCCCGCCGCGGGTCTATCGACCAAATATTCACACTGCGCCAGCTCCTGGAACACAGGCACGCTTACCGACGCCCAACAATAGCCGTATTTCTCGACCTTAAGGTGGTATTCGACTCTGATGATTGAGAAGTTTTATGGCAATGTCTCTCACTGAAAGGAGTGCCGAGTAAGTACATCACCTTATTGAACGCTCTCCACTCGAACACTTGTGGGCATGTACGAGCAAATGGTGAAATGTCCGGGCATTTGTGCTCGTCAAAAGATATCCGTCAAGGCTGCCTACTCTCTCCATTCTTATTCAATTTTATCATTGATATTCTTATAGAGGTTTCCCTCTCGTCACCTTGTTACACAGACGTTGACCCAATCCACAGGTGAATTTTCGTTAAACTCAGAATATGCAGATGACATAGTCCTGTTAGTTTAACACACTGAAAAGATGCAGAGTCTTCTGAACACTTTGAGAATGTCTGGCATGCACATCTGACCACCCAAATGCAAATTGTTGCTCACGATTTGTCTACGACGGTGCCTCGGCTAACAATAGAGACTGAAGTGGTTGACTGTGTTGACCACTTCGTAGTATAGGACGTATTCCATGGTGTCACCACCTGAGTAATACAGAAGTCAAGTGTAGAGTTTTAGGGAGGAAAGGTAAATCAGTTGATGAGGTTATGAACCTTCATCGACTGAGATTGCTGGTTGGGACACGTACTACGTATGCCCAGTCACCGGTTGCCTCGTCACACAATGTTGGCTAAGGTGGGTCCAGGTTGGAAAAAGTCCCGAGGTGGCCAGACTAAAACATGGCACTAATGTATGAAGTCTCTGACTGTTGGTTTAAGCCATGTAGGGCGATGCAGACTAGCTGGTTGGTGTCCGCGGGACAAGAGGGACCAGTGAGTGGTTGGAGACTCTAGGTGATGACATGGCTCAGGACCGATGTCGGTGGGGCAGATGTATACACACATCATCTATCCTCATCTTAACGACCCTATACCGAATCTCACCATTGTCGTTCTTCTTTTCTTTCTTCTCGTACTTTATATTTCTTTCGACTGCATTCTCTTATCTTCATCCTTTACCTCACTACCTTTCTACTTGATATACTGACGTGAGGTGTGGCAACTCGGTCCGTTACGCAGCAGTAATGCCTGGTCCTATGTTGATATTGACGATGATGTCTGGTTTAGTCGCCTCTGACGATAGGAATCAGTGGTGTAGAACTCTTGGGGACAATATCACAGATATTTTCACTTTTTGATATCTAATTACTACAGCTATTGTTACTACCGTTCACTAGTGTTTCCCAGTTAAAACAAAGTCGGTTAAAAAACGACAGTTTAATTTTTTTGTTAAGAAAAACTTACTTATGCACGACTGACTATCCGACTGATAGTTATCTGACAATTTAGAGCGATAACCATCCTCACCAGCATCATTATCAGTTGGTGTTTGACTCATACAACTAGATGTTTCACTCTTCTGTTGTTGTTTAACATCACTATTGAAATAAGGATTTATTGCATGTGATAGTTGTTGTTTATATGTAGACTGACAATTTGACAAATTTACTGACGATTTAGTTGATAGGGTATTCAATCGAGTGATAACATTATTAGCAATAATTGAACGATCAGGATTCGTTAACCAAAGATGTACTTCCTTGAGACAATTCAAGTCAGAATCATGTAATGTAAAGTCTGTGTTATTATGACTACCACCATTGTTGTCACTTTGAGGTGATAAACAACGTGCTGTTTTAGGACAGAGATCATTTGAATTCTGAGTATTCACAATAAATTGATTAGCATCAGTGTGAGGAGTAGGTTTTCTTTGACTGGATGATTCTATGGAGTCATCTAGTCTAACAACAGATGAATCCGTTTGTGTACTATCAACAGACAATACATCTAGCATATCATTTTTATTGGAATGGACATCAGTAGAATTTTGATTCACAGTCGGTATTAACATCTGAGAAGTGAAATAAACAAAGATATTCCTGTTGAAAATGATAGAAATGAGTGCGATGGAGAGCATGAGAAACAAAAAACAAAATAATTGCAAACGGTTTCGATGGACAACATCAACTCAGTATTTTCATCTTGATGACCAGCAGCAAAACACAGCTTAACTAGAGCTTCATTTTATTTCAGACTCACTGGTCATTAGTGATCAACGAACGCAGAGAAAACAGTAGACATGCTCACACCACTATTCCAGAAGGTTTGGAAGGAAGGAAAGGTACCTACCTACATACCTGCCGATTGATTGGAAGAACGGTTACCTTGACAAACTTCCAAAGAAGGGAGACATACACCTTCGAAAGAACCGGTGCGGAATCATGCTTTACCCCTGTCCACCCCAAGCAAAATATTAAGCCACATCAGCCTGGAGAGACTAAGAAATGCTATGCATTCAAAATTACCACCACAACAGGTTGGCTGGCTGACTTCAGGAAGAACAAATCATGTCCCATTATCATAGAACACAGCATACAATGCCAGTCAACTCAACTCAACTCAACCTCATCGATTTTTAAAAGGACTCCCATAGCGTAGATCGAGAAGTAATTTGGAAACTGCTTCAACACTACGGTCTTAGTGCCACAAACCTTCATCAACCAACCGCGTTCAACAGACATATGCTATCCGATGCTACATACCAGGTGATTCACAATGGAAAGCTCAGTGACGCCTTTGAAGTGAGGACAGGAGTAAGACAAGGATGCCTGCCTACTATCACCCATGATCTTCCTGATTGTGGTCGACTGGACTGCACTGGACTGAATCATGCAACAAACTGTGAAGAGTGAGAAGAACGGCATACGCTGGCTGCACCGATGAAAACATCCCACAACACGATTTGGATTTCCCCGATCATCATCATCATCATCATCATGATTTATGTCTAATATCTTGTCGCACAAACTCGAAGATCTACAGGCAAAAACCAACAAGTTGGCAGAAGAGGCGAGGAAGCGAAGATGCGACTTCAACTGAACATAGACAAGACAGGGTTCATGAAGATACTAAACCAACGCCACCAACAACAACAAGCACCAATCACCATCAACGGGACAAACCTAAACAAAGTTGTCTCTTTCACTCACTCACTCACTCACTCACTCACTCACTCACTCACTCACTCACTCACTCACTCACTCACTCACTCACTCACTCACTCACTCACTCACTCACTCACTCACTCACTCACTCACTCACTCACTCACTCACTCACTCACTCACTCACTCACTCACTCACTCACTCACTCACTCACTCACTCACTCACTCACTCACTCACTCACTCACTCACTCACTCACTCACTCACTCACCTACCTACCTACACACCTAGGCAGCATCGTTTCAACTACAGGCGACGGCACACATCAGCATGTCAAACACACAATCGGAAACACACCAACACTGGCCTTCCTGCATTCATCTGAAATAATCAGTGTGGAGATCTACTGCACTACACTACACTACACTACACTACACTACACTCAGCATAAAGCGTCAACAGCATCCGCATTTCCAACACTAATGTCAGTCAGTGCTTCTATGTGATGGTTCACAGACTTGGCGCGTTACGAAAAGCATTCCCAACAAACAACTGCAGACATACATCATCAACAGTTGTCGCCATCTACGCTCACTCCATACTGACACTGAAGATCGATTAGATGGCCAGAATAATAAGAATAAGCAACAAGGAACTCTGGCTAGCTGACTGGCTGGCTGGCAACGAACCAACCAACAACCCGAGCATACAATGAGAAGACCATTCGGGGACATCACGCGCCAGGTCAGGCCTTCGAGTCGAACCCAAAGGGAAAACGATGAGTTGGGCGTCCGAGGGTGATATGGAGGAGGTCGTGTGAGGAAGAAATGAAAGCTTGTGGGTATTTGTGAAGCCAGGTTAAACAGACTGCAGAGAACAGAGTGGAATGGCGAAGTGCCACTTCGCCTTATTTTCCACTGAGAACCCAAGGCGCAAATAATGATAATAATAGTCAGCTCAATGTACCTATTATAATCCTAGTAAGGAGTGATGTTATTCCCCTCACTGAGGCTGCAACCACGTAGTCATCACTTCAAATGCTAAAGGGTTATCGAGAAGGCCACTGTACTGAGGCATAATAGGGGGAAAAGAACGCTCCATTGCATAAATGAAGGTTCATAGTTTAAATTATAACGCTATACAATGAAAGTATACCGAAACAATTAAGTGCATACATCAACTCATTTCAGAGTGTAAGGCATTTTTAGATTTTTCTTTACAGAATTAGAAGATTGACGTAAATCAATTAGGATATAACGCCTATGATCAGTTGTATAAAAACTTTTTGTTAGCAAGTAACATCATTCACATCAAATTGACACTGTCCTACTACTATGACGGGTGCTACTGATAAGAATGGATATAAGTAGTATGTATATGTTGAGAAATCCGCAGAAATCATAGGCAATTACCAGCGATGGGTAAATATTCTACCCAGAGAAACGCAAGACACAATGTGGGCGCATGAAGAAGAAGAATGAGAAGAAGGTGAGGAAAAGGAACACATTATGCAGATGTCCACTTTAATGGAAAGTGTACAATATTTCATCATTACTGTGCAAAAAGTCATAATGAACGGTACTTCCTGCGTTTCAGTCTTTGTCGTTTCTTACACTACTGATGTGACCATTACTGATCGAATTTTATCGATTAGGATTACTCAGTCATTAAAATAAACGGTCAAATATAATAACAGTCATTTTTGATCAAGATTACATGGCCTTGGGATCAAGGGGGTTAATTTGTGACCTGATTGATGCAACTTCAGAGACGAGAACTCAAGTTTATCCGGTATCATTTTTCTCGACAGAGATGTCAACTTGTAACATATTCTAACTTGACTAGTACAAAATGAAGGTTGTTTATTCAACTGATAACAGTGGAAAGAAACATTGATTGTATTTCTTCCCTTAGTCTAGCATTCAAAGGTGATGAAACATCTGAAAGAATAGACAGAAGGATAAAAGCTGCACTGAGAAGGAGTTCCGTGTTGTCAGACTAATCTCAGTTTACAAAACATTATGCTCAATAACACAGTCGAAAGTAGACGAATACCCATTTCACATCACCAACTGCGTATATCAATTCGCTTGTGCTTGTGGAAGCAAGTACATAAGACAGACTGAAAGAACGGCGTCTACTCGATTTTATGAGCATATCTCAAGACGTCTGCATCTAAAAGTGGTAGCAAGGTCTTTAAAAACGCAATTGCCAGGCATCTGATAAAAACATGACATTAAATAGGTGTTTCTCAATCCTTCAGGTTAATCAACAAACAAAGAACACCATGTTTAATACGGTTTGTGGAAGCTCTCGCTATCAAACATTTCCAACCTTACCTATGTACTCAAAAAGAGACTGTAATGAACCTTTGCATGCGTATGCATATAGTCTTCCTTTTTCTTCTGATTGCATCGACTCTTCATGAATTACTTAGACTGTTAATCACTTGACAATTTTCCAGTTTTTCATGTAATTATGCAACCTAGTAGCTCTCAACCAGTCCCTTCTTTTTACTGATTTTTTGTTTGCTGTCCCCCCATCCCCACTCTACAACTCTAGAAGTCTCTATCTCATCAGTTGGGTATAAATTACCATTGATTTTGACTAAGATTTGTAATTATTATTCCTGTGTTTCTCTGACTCAATCTTATTGTTAACCTTGAATTTCGCATCTCCATTAATTCCTACATTTTTAAAGTGTTATGCCATTATTACTACTAACACCTCATTTCAACTGCAGGCTGTTTACAGCTGATAAAAGGTCATGAAATAAAATGAGCTTATTTTATTCTGCAAATGCCTTTGCTCCTGCATTGTTCAAAGGGGATAGGTTTGAATAATCATCATCATCATCATCATTATCAACATAGGACCAGGCATTACTGCGTAACACTCCGAGTTGCCACACCTCATATCAGCACATCAAGTAAAAAGGTAGTGAGGTGAAGGATGAAGATAAGTGAATGCAGTCAAAAGAAATATAAAGTATGAGAAGAAAGGAAAGAGGAGTGACAAAATAGTGAGATTCGGTATAGCGTTGTTAAGATGAGGATAATGTGTGTATACATCTGCGCCACTGACTTCGGTTCTCAGCCATATCACCTAGGGTCTCCAACCACTGGTTCCTCTTGTCCCGTGGACCCCAACCACCTAGTCTGCATCGTCCTACATGGCTTAAACCAACAGTCAGAGACTTCATACATTGGTGCCATGTTTTAGTCTAGCCACCTCGGGCCTTTTTCCAGCCTGAACCCACCTCAGCCAACATTGTGTGACGAGGCAATCGGTGACTAGGCATACGTAGTATGTGTCCCAACCATCTCAGTCGATGAAGGTTCACAACAACCGTGTCAACTGATTTACCCCTTCTCCCCAAAACTCTACACCTGATCCTGACTTCTGCATTACTCACATGGTGACACCACGGAATACGTCCTATATTATGAAGGCAACGGTGGTCAAATACCTGTAACCTTCTCATGTCTTCCACTTTCAATGGCCATGTTTCACAGCCATACAGTAGAACAGAGCGGACTGCTGTGCAGTACACGCGACCCTTAATAGACAAACGAATGTCACGGCGGCGCCATAGGTGGCGCAAATTGGCAAAAGCCAATCGAGCCTTTTGTATCCGTGCAGAAATCTCATCGGCAACTAACCCACCGGAGTTGATCCTACTTCCCAGGTAAGTGAAGTGGTCAACACACTCAACCACTTCACTCTCTATTGTTAACCGCGGTACCGCTGAAGACCAGTCCTGGAGCAAAAATTTGCATTTGGGTGGTGAAAATCGCATCCCAAACATTCTCAAATTCCCACTCAAAGTGTTCACAAGACTCGATAGTAAAACGTTAAATTAGTAGAGAATCAGAACGCCAACATCGTTATCCAAGTACTTATACAATTAATTATGTTTACATCTTCATTATATTTCTCTTTTTCGCTTTCTCTTTGTCTTTCAATGTCTCCTAATAACATTATTCTGATATCCTGCTAATTAAGCCCATAGCATAGAGGTATGTGGTAACAAGCATTCAGTACGTCATTCTTCATGGCTTTATATTTCGATAATATCTCTCCAAAATAACTAGAGTATTACCGTCAACAGATAAAAAGTAATCGAATGTGTAAACTCTTCTACAGTATTTATTCATCGACGCTGAATGTAACCAATAACAACTAGCTTGTCTGTAACCGCGGAATATTTCCGTGAAAATCTCATACTACTTATAAGTAATCTGTATCTTCAGCTTACCTAAATCACAGGCGATCACTGTTAGATTAGGTTTAGTATACGCGTAAGAGCACGCCAGGCGTCTGCTAAAACGGTAGTTTTTATAAAAGAACCAAAGAAGCAGTAGTTATTTTGTACTTAAAGACTCATAAATAGATTTAATAAATAGACAGGAATTAATCAATTGAGAATAAAACGATTTTCCTTACTTTCATCTTGATGCCAAGCTCTATTCAGAGCTTGACGCGTGTTCCATCCAATTTAAGACTCACCAGTTAGCTGGATATACCTATATCAACCCCAGTATGGAGTGATGTTGTTTCCCCACTGAGACTCCAACCTAGTTTGCATCGCTTCAAACACTAAGGAGTTATCCATTGAGGTCATCATATAGGGCACAACAGCCAAGGGTATCCAATTATCGCTTGATACTTAACGTTTCCCATTCCCATACACGGCTGAATTGCTCAACCTTAGTTATTGTAACTGTTTTAGTTTTAAATTTATAATCCCTACTTAAGACATTAAACAAAGATTTCAATGAAGAAATTTTCTGTTTTTCGCAACGATTTCATCGGCAATAGCGATGATAATTCGGTGATGAGATAAATTATGAAACTAGCAATATAAACGCAGTAATAAACTAGACAAAAATTGGTGTAAATGTCGATATAGATGAGAACTAAACGAAGTGACTGAAATTGTGTTAAAAGTCAATCATTACAAGGTGATGGGTAAATAAACTAATGACCATTTCTTTTTAAGTACTTAGGTCAGGTCGAATTCGTCAGATGATGAGGATTTCAGCAATTTGATGAAGGCGTGAAATCATTTGTCTGTTCAGTAGCAGGATGTAGGATTCTGGTGTCAATCTAGTGTATCCTTAGAAATTAGATGATACATCATCATACTGATAAATGAAGTTAAGGCAGGCATATTCTACAAGGTTGATATAAACGATTGTATCTCCACTCTTTCCATATACCTACACATATAAAGTGAAGACAAGTGGATCGTAATGCATGGACCCGACAAGCATTCATATGTGGCAATGGTGAGACAGAGATTAGTCGAAATATCGAAATGCACTCAGCAACACCATGTGCACACTCATGCAGCAGGTAATGAGCCATACCTATTGTGTAGTAACGCCCAAACCACCTAGAACCACAACTCCACAGAATGATAAAAGGCCAGGACGTTTGACACGATAAATACACTCTTGGAGGCTTAAAGACATTGACATAATATTGTTCATTGTCATTCAAAGCGTGCACATAGTTGATTTAAAATGTTTAACAATTTATAGTCTAAGAATGACTAGATAACAAAAGAGTGTGCAACCTGAAAGATAGGTTAAAAAGAAAACACCTACTATATTACTTTCCACTCTCGGATCCGTATTATCACGTAGAAAACTTGACGGTAGACTATGTCGACGCAACCGACATGTCACAGAACCATGGTAATCTGAAAATGCAAAAGAAGCAGAATAATTTTAGAGAGTGAGAGAGTTCCAAACCGATTTATCAATAACTGAATAGATCAGATTTAAAGTGGTGAACGTCAACACTTTCAAGCCAAATGAATAAAAATACTACACCTTTAGACACATCCACACCTTGTACAAAAGTGCGTCGATTCGAGTCATAAATAATTTGTAATAGTGCAGACAGAGAACAATAGAAAAAACAGAGAATACGACAGAAATCAATACACAAGAAGTCATGAGATTTTTAAAAGTTATACGCCTATCAGGATTGAACAAATTTGCGCCTATTCGATTGATGTTGATTATTAGCTCTACATAAACTTCGCCTAGTTCATTCGTTACTAGCCACCCCAAAGCCGGGATAAAGAGGGAAGCTGGGCCACAGGACTAGCAAACATGCCCTGTAAAACCAATCCAATCACTAAAGAAACTTCGAAGCACAAAAAAACATAAAAATAATCGTATTCCTTACTGGAATCGGAGAGACGAATTGACGCCAGTTGGTTAAAGCCTTCGAGAAGCCAATTGACCGATGTATCTCCTCTCGATGAAAGTAAAAACAAGCTGCGGGACATGGAATATCCAAACAACGTCTGAAGCATGCTGGCAAGGCTGCCCTGATTGCAAAAGAGATGAGAAGGTATGGCATGGAAGTGCTAGGAATCTGCGAAAGTCAATCAATCATTATCCACATAGGACCAGGCATTACTGCGTAACGGTCAGAGTTGCCACACCTCAAGTCAGTTAATCAAGTAGAAAGGTAGTGAGGTGAAGGGTGGAGATAAGTGAATGCAGTCAAAAGAAATATAAAGTACGAGAAGAAAGGAAAGAGGAGCGACAAAATGGTGAGATTCGGTATAGTGTAGTTAAGATGAGGATAACGTGTGTATACATCTGCGCCACTGACCGATAGCTGCTACCTTGACGTGGTGGTCCGCCTTGCATATCACAATGACCCAATGAGCTATGCTGGTGGAACGCTTGTTCCCTCGAGGTCCTAACCATACCAGAAAGGTCTGGTGGATAGTGGTTAGACGAAAAGCAGTTACCGTTATAGTGTAAATTGCTACACTATGATGGGGGTCTGAGGGCGAAGTCGTACTGCTGCCAGCTGGATGGAGTGTGACACCAGTAAGGTGTTTCCCTTGGATGATCAGCAATGCCATGCTGATGCTGCCTTCTCAGTGGAACGGGAGGGGGTTAGAAGAGGTCGGCCACAAAAATAACACACTCCACCATACATCAAGGTCTGCCGGGCCGGCGGTGTTGGTTCACTTGTCGTTTCATTTCGACCATCCGGCGCCAAAAAAATCTGCGAAAGTAGATGGAATGCAAATGAACTGTCGGAACTCTTAACTGAAGAGTCAATAATCTACTCCAATATTGTCACCCAGACGACAACCACGAGCACACTGAGTTTTCCAGTGGCTATCATGATGTCTCCAAGAGCATCAAAGGCTCTCATACAGTGGGAACCAATCTCCTCCAGCATCGTGACAGCAAGATTCAACTCAAAAGGAAGGAAAATCAATCATTCAATGCTACGCACCTACAAATAATGCAGATGAAGAGAAGAAGGAGAAATTCTATAAACAACTGCAATCAGTAATCAACAAGACCCCAACCCAGATGGCCACAATTATATCAAAATTCTAATGGGTGACATGAATGCCAAACTGTGGGGAGTGGACAACACAGGAAGAGAACTCGTCATGGGTAGAGAAGCACTCAGTAAAATGAACGAGCATGGAGAACTGTTTGCACACTTCTGCGCATTCAACGATTTGGTGATTGGAAGCAGTGTGTACATGCATAAAGATATTCACAAAGCGATATGGACTTCCTCAGACACCAGGACACACTAAAAATCAGATCGACTTCATCTCCATGTAAAGAAAGTGGAGACGCAGCCTACTGGACACAAGATCAAGAAGAGGAGCAGATGTAGGTTCACACAACTCATTATCTAGTGTAAGGAACCTGCCTTCAAAGAAGTTGATGATAGGCCACAGTTCAATACAAGGAAACTGAAGGTAGGAACTACGATTGGCATCTTCACATCGATCATCAGGAAGAAATAGGAGACAACAGACAACATCCCTGAAGAAACCTGTGTGGAAGAACACTATTTGAAAGAGACGAGGAAGGAAACCCACATAAACGTGTTAGGAAGGAAGAGGAAACAACACAAGGAATGCATCTCGACGGACAAATAGAAGCTGATAGAGGGAGAGGAAGACGATGAAGCCGAAGACTAACCAGTGCAGTGCAGGGATGAACAACTAAAAAAGGGAACTGAACACAACCCAGAAAACACTATACCGAACAAAGAAGTGAAGAGTGCACGCACAGACAAACGACACTTTTGCGACGCACTCGCAAGTGAAGCAGAATAGGAGAAACGAAGAAAGTGATGGGCTGACAGCTTCAGAAAACTCTTGAATCGACCACCAACACCACCTGCAACCCATCCAGAAGTACTACCAGCAACCACAGAATCAACAGTGAACACAAGCTCTCCAACAAAAGCCGAACTCCTGAAAGTCATAAAGTTGGTGAAATCCGCGAAAGCAGCAGGACCAGATGGAATTCCGCCAGCAGCACTGAAAACAGATGCAGAAACAACAGTGGACATGCTCACACCACTATTCCAGAAGGTTTGGAAGGAAGGAAAGGTACCTACCTACATACCTGCCGATTGATTGGAAGAACGGTTACCTTGACAAACTTCCAAAGAAGGGAGACATACACCTTCGAAAGAACCGGTGCGGAATCATGCTTTACCCCTGTCCACCCCAAGCAAAATATTAAGCCACATCAGCCTGGAGAGACTAAGAAATGCTATGCATTCAAAATTACCACCACAACAGGTTGGCTGGCTGACTTCAGGAAGAACAAATCATGTCCCATTATCATAGAACACAGCATACAATGCCAGTCAACTCAACTCAACTCAACCTCATCGATTTTTAAAAGGACTCCCATAGCGTAGATCGAGAAGTAATTTGGAAACTGCTTCAACACTACGGTCTTAGTGCCACAAACCTTCATCAACCAACCGCGTTCAACAGACATATGCTATCCGATGCTACATACCAGGTGATTCACAATGGAAAGCTCAGTGACGCCTTTGAAGTGAGGACAGGAGTAAGACAAGGATGCCTGCCTACTATCACCCATGATCTTCCTGATTGTGGTCGACTGGACTGCACTGGACTGAATCATGCAACAAACTGTGAAGAGTGAGAAGAACGGCATACGCTGGCTGCACCGATGAAAACATCCCACAACACGATTTGGATTTCCCCGATCATCATCATCATCATCATCATGATTTATGTCTAATATCTTGTCGCACAAACTCGAAGATCTACAGGCAAAAACCAACAAGTTGGCAGAAGAGGCGAGGAAGCGAAGATGCGACTTCAACTGAACATAGACAAGACAGGGTTCATGAAGATACTAAACCAACGCCACCAACAACAACAAGCACCAATCACCATCAACGGGACAAACCTAAACAAAGTTGTCTCTTTCACTCACTCACTCACTCACTCACTCACTCACTCACTCACTCACTCACTCACTCACTCACTCACTCACTCACTCACTCACTCACTCACTCACTCACTCACTCACTCACTCACTCACTCACTCACTCACTCACTCACTCACTCACTCACTCACTCACTCACTCACTCACTCACTCACTCACTCACTCACTCACTCACTCACTCACTCACTCACTCACTCACTCACTCACTCACTCACTCACTCACTCACTCACTCACTCACTCACTCACTCACTCACTCACTCACTCACTCACTCACCTACCTACCTACACACCTAGGCAGCATCGTTTCAACTACAGGCGACGGCACACATCAGCATGTCAAACACACAATCGGAAACACACCAACACTGGCCTTCCTGCATTCATCTGAAATAATCAGTGTGGAGATCTACTGCACTACACTACACTACACTACACTACACTACACTCAGCATAAAGCGTCAACAGCATCCGCATTTCCAACACTAATGTCAGTCAGTGCTTCTATGTGATGGTTCACAGACTTGGCGCGTTACGAAAAGCATTCCCAACAAACAACTGCAGACATACATCATCAACAGTTGTCGCCATCTACGCTCACTCCATACTGACACTGAAGATCGATTAGATGGCCAGAATAATAAGAATAAGCAACAAGGAACTCTGGCTAGCTGACTGGCTGGCTGGCAACGAACCAACCAACAACCCGGGCATACAACGAGAAGACCATTCGGGGACATCACGCGCCAGGTCAGGCCTTCGAGTCGAACCCAAAGGGAAAACGATGAGTTGGGCGTCCGAGGGTGATATGGAGGAGGTCGTGTGAGGAAGAAATGAAAGCTTGTGGGTATTTGTGAAGCCAGGTTAAACAGACTGCAGAGAACAGAGTGGAATGGCGAAGTGCCACTTAGCCTTATTTTCCACTGAGAACCCAAGGGACAAATAATAACAAATAGAATTAACTCTATAAACAATTATTGGAGTGTTATTAAACACAGTTTGTGTGCGGCTAACGCACCTCATGAAGAACTGGCTTACTTTATGAACTTAGAATTCTGCGGAGGATAATGGTGAGTATGATGCTGAAAACCTATGGTCGATTATATACAAGCTAAACAAATGAACGACGTTTTGCAATCTCATCACTTCACGGTGTAAATACTTACCCATCATTTTGTTCGACAACACAGCTGTAAACTGCCCTTGAACCCATAGATTCGCAACTAATCCGCTACTGAAGACAGAAACACTGGAGAAATATCACATCATGTTCGTTGTGAAAAACTGCAGGATTTTTTACTCTCTTGTTCCAACTACTTTGTTCTACCTGTGCTCGTTGAGCGGTGTCCGTGAAAGCTGCCTATTCTCTCCATTCTTATTCAATCTTATCATAGATATTCTTATGGAAGTCTCCCTCTCGTCACCTGACTACACAGAGGTTAACCTAATCGCGGGAGAATTTTCATTAGACCCAGAATACGCAGACAGCATACTTCTGTTAGGCGAAGACTGAAAAGATTTTTAGTCCTCTGGACACATTGAGTGGCAATTTGAGAATGTTTGGAATGAGTTTCTCACCACGCAAATACAAATCGTTGATTGAGGACTGGTCTCCAACGGTGCTCCGATTAACAATGGAGAGTGAAGTGGTTGAGTGCGTTGAGCGCTTCACTTATATGGGAAGTCAGACCAGACCTGGTGCGTTGTTGGCCGATGAAATTTCTGCATGAATACGATAGGCTCGATTGGCTTTTGTCAACTTACGCCACATGTGGCGCCGTCGTGATATCCGTTTGTCTGTTAAGGGTCGCGTGTACTGCACAGCAGTCCGCTCTGCTCTACTGTATGGCTGTGAAACATGGTCACTGAAGGTGGAAAACATAAGGTTTCAGTTGCCTGACCATTGCTGCCTTCGTAGAGTAGACCGTGTTTCGTAGTGTTATCACATGAGTAATGCAGAAGTCAGGTGCAGAGATATAGGGAGGAGAGGTCAGTTGATGTAGTTGTGAGCCTTTATCGGCTGAGATGGCTGGGACATGTGTTACGAATCCCTAACCACCGCCTGCCTCATCGCACTTTGCCGAAGTAGGTTCAGGCTGGAGAAAGGCTTTGAATGACCAGACTAAAACATGGCATCACTGCATGAATTCCTTTACTGTT